TTGCAAATTGCAAATCAACACACGTACATAGTGATGCGAATGCGATACGATACTCAAGTACACCGAACGGCTGAAAAGTGATCAAGTAGAATGGAAGAGTAAGTACCATCAAAACCTCGGAGACGGAGCTGATACTCAGCACGTACATGGTGACTCCCACGTCCACAGGCGGGCCTGTAACCGCAAGCAAACTTATCCTGAGTGGCGTTGCCGAAAACAAATATGAAAACCAAATCAAACTCGTGCCCTTGGCCTGCCCGCCCTGACCCCGAGCGGTCCGCGCGCGCCCTCTCGGGGCCGGGGTGGGGACTTTATGTATATGCTATAACAACGACATTTAGTCCGGCTATGAGAGACTCTAACCATCTGGACCTCGGACAGCGAGCTGATGCTCAGCACGTACATTGTGACTCCTACATCCACGGGTGGGCCTGTAAGCGAAACCATCACATAACATCTAACCGCTCCCCAGGCCGCCAAGCGCGAGAGTCCGGGCACTAGTCGGAGACGAGCCGCTACCCCTCGATCGATACCGGCACGTTGGTTTGGGTGGGCTCGAGATTTTTCGCTCGTCCCTGCACATCGATCACTTAAAGTACGGGGCTATCGGTTATAGATGCCACATCACCTTAGCTTATTGTTAACTATTGCTTGGTAATTTGTAATTATTAATTATACAGGGTGTCCCTGAAAAGGATAGAAACACTTGACCACATGTTCCTTGCATCAAAACTTGCTTGACCACAGGTTAATTGGATGAAAATAAGACTATTTAGCCTAACTTACCTATATATCAAAGTGCACGCCTACTGAGATATAGCCTTCTAAATATGGAACAGATAACTTAGTTTTTTTTCAAATAATTTGAAAACTGTTTTTCTTAGAAATTTCAAATTTGGTACACATATTTTTTGATATAAGGGCAATGTAAATATAGAATTTGGTGAGAATACATATACAGGATGTTCTCTCTCTAGTGCCTGTGCGCCACTGGATATCCCGTAACTTTTTTGTATGTACGCCAATGACGACAGAATTTATATTTTTAAAAATAAGCACTATCTTAGAAGATTTTTTGCCTCTTATAAAATTTTGATATCGTTTATGGATTTCGAGTAAAATTGTCATTTTTTACACATTAAATAATATAAAATCAGTTTAAGATAAATAGAACATTCTAGTACGAGGTGCCATATAACAGAGAAACAAATTCATAACAATAATTAAAAGGTTCTGTGTCAAGCTAGCTGTGAATTAATTTTAGCTTACTTTGTTTTTTATTGCAATTTATACTTTTGCTGAACAAACTGATATGTTAGTAGTTTTGGGTTATTGTGA